CTAAAAAAAATACAGCTTACTTAGACCTCTAATATAAAAAAAACTTTGTACGAAATATCTTTTTAACATAACGAGTAGATATAGTCAAGAGCAATGAATAAATATAAAACGACCCTTGTTGTCAGCAAAAAAAAGTCCTTGGGAAGACCAGAAATACCATCCTTTTATCGATTTCGTACTCATTACATTAGTGGTGAGCTCATGAAACACGCCTCAAAGTAAGCAATATGCTCCTCCCTTTTTCCATTCTATCAATGTCAGGGTCACCAAATAAATACATGTACATAAAAAGGAAGAAACACAAACTCATACGCTGATGATGATGATGATGGCAAACAAGGTGTTTTTGTAGCCAATTGTCAGAACGATTGCCTGCATTTTTCATTTGGCCAATAATCACAACATTTACCAACACCATAACTAACATGCAATATCCGACGATGTGTTCTTTTTCCGTTTTTTCGCTAGCCATCTTGTTCGTCCTCCGGGCACCTGCTTGATTTTGTTCCGCCGTAAATTCTCATTTACACTACCATCTTCCGGAATCTGCCCCCGAAATCTCCCACACATTCCCTACCTTCCATGTTATATAGCCAGTCATTTAATCAATTATGCAAAAAACGATGTCGACGTCGACAGCGACGATGTATCGTAAAATGTTTGCCACGGTTACGGGTCTGCTTTCGCCGCAAACGTATTCGTATTCGTATCCGTATCCGTATTCGTATCCTTGCCTGTCTATATCCCCATGAACCTGCTGGCACGTTTACCTTTTCTTGTATAAATAATTAATTAAATGTACAGCAGTTTTTGGAAAACTGGCTTCGCTTTGCCCGCAGCAAGAAAGTCATAGCCCGGCGTGGGTTTTTCCGGCAGGAAAATAGAGGGCTGCCAAAGCTTCGGGGATGTGGCCCCTGTGTGTGCGACTGAAAATCGCTGTTAGACGCTCTAAGGACTCATTGAGGCAGTTAGCAAACCGCTTCGATTAAGGGCAATGCCAATGAGTGACTGATTACGAGAGGCAGAAAAGATTCGAAGTACTAGTGCCATGTGTAGTAAACACACTAGTTACTTAGGTTCCGTTTGACCAAGACAGAAAGTAATAATTAATGTTATATTAGACGTTTAACGTCAGTGACACACAGAAAATAAATAGACCAATACTAATCTAAATAGATAATTGCACTGTTAATGTGGATATTAATCGTTGACAAAAAACAAAAGAGATATGCTTTTCTAACTTCTTCTTTACCTTTCAAATGCATGAGCTCTTTAAATACAAAATGTGATCGATTCTAGTTTATAAAATAGTCGTATACTAACTTATGACTTGATACGCAAATTTATGAATTTATAGCTTTAAGTGCCATAATGGCTTTGGAGCCCAAAACCACCCAGCTCAGTAAAATCCATTTCGGATAAGACTGGTTTCCCAACGATATCTGCAATATATCCCCATTGCGAACTCCCCGAAGCTCACTGCAAATCGCTCCAAACTCAAGAGTTTCGTGCCGCGAAGCACTTGAGCCCAGGCTGGATAAATATGTGGATATATACGAAGGAACAGAGGGACTGTTGGCCAAAATTGGCCAAGTGAGGCAATATCACGTATTCGCCCCGTTTGCCAAGTGAGCTTGAGAGCCAGTCGCAGTCGCATTTTGGAGAAACACCAAGAAAAATGTATAATTTTTTTATATTTCTTCGTTAAGAAGATGAGGCACATGAAATTAGCTAAGTAAATCGCCAGCGCCTTCGAATGTTATATACAAAAATTGTTTTCATTTTTAATTTTTCCAATCATTTTTTTACTTTTACAACAGTTCTTAACGGAGTATTCATTCCTCAGAAACCATGATTTGAATAGGGAAATAGCTAGAAAAAATGATGTTGAAATGTTGATCTTATAACATGCAAGATGATCTAAGTTTCTTTCTGTGCAAAAAACAGCGACAGTCTCGGTTTCGGTTTCGCTGGCTAGTTATTTCCGTGGGGTCTGATTGCAGACGAAGGGCGTGGCAAATCTGTGCACACAATGGGCACAAAAAGAGGGTGATGTTCCCGGCAGAACCCAAAATAATCTACGGCAATTACATATGGCAGGCAATAAACTTGGTCAAGTCTAAAAACAACCACTGAACGACTGCCAACTGCGGTCGTAGGTGGTTTGGTGTGTTTTTCTTTTTTTTCTTTTTGGGTGGTGCAGTGCTTGTGTGTTGCAGTGGGGAAATGGGGAAAAGTGCTCTTGACATGTTTTTATTAAAGTTTCCTACGTTTCCGGCCACGTCTGCCAAGGCAAAAAGGATGAGAACAAAAAAAAAATTCCACCACAAAACAAAAATAAAACCGTCTCGAGCTGGTTTTTCCCCTACCCTATTCAAATTCCAAAGTTAGTTCCTGATACCCTTCATGTAGCCATATGATTAAACTTTTATACAATTATTTGCTTGCTTGAAAGTTTGGAACATATGGAAATAAATAGTTGTAATAGTAATGATGTATTTTGTCCGCTCAAGAGAGCGTCCACATTGGGAACGACCTAAATGTTTAATAAACTTATATCTTTCCTATATATAAATAAATTATTATTATGTATAAATTATTTTAAAATACCTATAACCGTGCCACATTTTATTTCGATTAAAATAAAAAAGTATCAAAGTATAAAATTAATTTATCTCATAGATCAAAATATATCCTTCTGAAGAACTGCGTGCTGAACTAGAATAGATAATTGTATATATCTGAATAAGCAATATTGGCTGTTCCATTTAAGATAAATCATCAAAATATTAAAATCTTTTCTTATCATCCTTTCTAACTATCTCCCTAAAACCAGTTTTTAAGGGTATTCACTGTGCCTAGAAACTATTTTCAGCATTTCACTCTAGTTTTTGGTTTAGTTTCTTGAATATTTTTGTTGGTGGCCAAGTTATGTTTATGTTGCGTGCGTGCTTAGTTCATAGAATTGCTATTTGAGGTTTGCATTCAGATGTGGCTCCGAAAAAAATGCACTTCATTCGGCCCAAGTTTCGGGTACAAGTGCATGGGGTTTCTGTCGAATTTTCTGCATCTCCTCGAGTGCAAAATTTGACCCATATTGAGAAAAAACTGCAAAGATTTCACACTTCTATTCATAAAAACAAGCTGCAGACCGAAGAACAATGAAAAACCAAACCAATTATTCGCTGCAAATTTCCAATTTCGGATTTGGCCTTTTCCTGGCGAAAGCTTCAATTTGGGACTGAGAAATGGGAAAATGCAGCAGAAAGTGTTGAAGTGCTTTTCCAGGGAGTAAAGAACAAAGCGAGCAACTTGAACAAAACAAAACCGAAATAAAAACTTGGTGACAAAAACAGCAGCAAAAAGGGGGCGGAAGTGGGCTAATGTAGGGACATTGTAGGTGAAAACAGCAGGAAAACCGACACAGTCACGTATCCACGTGTTGGCAGAACCCACGAAAAAGTTCATGGGGGCGGAAAAGCCGGGGAAAACGCACTGAAGGCGCCAACGGTAAATGCACTTTGAATGACGAAGTTTACTTGTCACTGGGGACAAGGAAAATAGATGAAAAGGATTCCGATTGCAGTGGAGGATGTCCAAAGAATGGTAATTGCAAGGACACTGTAACGAATGATTAAAAACTTTAAAAATACATAAAATTGAATGTTTAATGTTAATAAAATTACTCTTTGAAACCAAATTGTGCTAAAGCCTTTATTAATTACGAGAAAAACAAAATACATGACACTTGCAAAAACAAATCACTATTAAAACATCTCGAATAAATAAAAAAAGAATCAAATTGATAAAGAGGAGGAATTCGAATTCCGGAATCCGGAATCCGAACCTACCCCATTGGAGCATGAAATATCAAATCAACAGCCAAAGAAATAAGTCAGTAAGGGAAGGAAGAAGGGTTTGGAGGCCCGGGAATCTAGCAGCACCAAATTAACATAAATTCCGTAAGGGCAAAACAAAAGGTAAAAAAATTGCTACTTACACAACTCATGAGGGCGATGGGGAGGAGTGGGGAACTGGGGTTTTTGGGTGGGAAAATACAAGTAGGCAAGCTAGAAGTCGAAGCTAGTTGCAAAAAGTTCAACGACAGCAGACAGACGCAAAAGCGACAACAAATAAAACAACATGGACACCGAATGGGCGGCGGAGGGAGTGACGGAAGGCGGCGGTAACGGTACCAAGGGTGCGGATGGTTCCTTTTTGGAAAGGAAAAACAGACCGTTGTTTCCTATGTCTACAGTGTCGCTTTCCCAACTATTCCCACAAGAAAAATCAATGGAATTGTTTGGTATATTGCGCCATGTTTGACTCACACCGCCCACAATGTCAACCCGCCTGCAAAACCACCCACTTGCCCATCACACTTGCGGTCAATATAATAGCAATAGGGGTTCTGTGTTGTTCAAGTATAAGCCACTTTACAAAAAAAATTGTGTTTGAATTACAAGAACCTTTGTTGCCTGTTATCGGTAAACTTGTCAAATTTCTGAAAAACTAAATGCACATTTTAAAGGCCTTAAAACCTATTCTTTCATCTGGTAAGGTAAACTTATTTAGATAACTTCCAACTTAGGACCAACTGTAAGATAATATTAAAGTCAAGTTTGTTCATAAACCAATTTAAATGATTTTTTTTGTAAATAAGAAGACGCTATCATGACTTTTATTTAGCATTTTGCTAAATCCTATAATTTTTTCCCTTGCTGTACCGCTGTTTCTATTTCTTGATTTGTTTTGTCGCGAATGTATGCTTTTTTTCTTGTTTCTTTTTATTTTTGTTTTCTTTTTGTTTTCGTTTTGTTTTGGCAAATTAGGCGAAGACAAATCAAGTGATTTCCCCCCCCGGTCTCACCACTTTTTATCGTTGACATACTTATTGAAAGCACTGAGTGAAAGAGGGAAGAGCGAAAGAGACGGATGATGTCATGATGCCGCGATCAAGGATCAGGCAGACAAACACAAACAAAAACAAACCAACTCACCTGTCTCTTTCTAACAGCTGTTAGTTGTTGCTGCAGCTTTTCGCTCCTTCTTTAACAGCTTCATCATCGCCTCGCCTTTCATCATCATCGCGAATGTGAATTTTCCGCATGGGAATTTTTCTCTGCCGCTGCCGCCGTTGACGTCGACTGCACACGTGACTGCGCAAACTCTTCTTCTTCTTCTTTCAGCTTCGCCTTTCTTGCCTTTGCTTAGTTGTTGCTTTGGTTTTTGTCTTTCGCTGCCTCACTTGCTTTTGTTGTTGTTGTTGACGTTGTTGCTTAACGGTGAATGCTCTGTGGCTTTTGTTTTGTTTTTTCGACACTTATTTATTTTATCGCCTGCCGCATTGTATTAATTTTGCTTTTTGGCCGAAAAATAACTTAAACAGCTGTCGCCACACTCAGTTGTTGTTCTGCACTTGCCTCTTGCTTCTTCTTGCACTCGCGCACTTGTTGTTGTTGGGATAGGCTTGGCTTGGCTTGGCTTTGGTTTCTGTTGCTGCAACAAGCACTCGCAAAAACAACAAAAAAAAAAAGACCGATTACCAACAACAATAATTAATTCAAATTGGGGAACGAACGCGAATTAAACAAAAATCACGGACCGCGGAACCGACAATTTTTTTTTTTTTTTAATTTGGTCCTTGTTTAGCGAAGCAAATGGTCGCAATTTGATCTTGCAATGGCCAGATACACTCCAGTATTTAACCGAAATTCGCGCGCGGCGAACCGGTGTGATAAAACCACCGAACTTGACGCGAAGAGGAGTAGAGGTGGAGAAACATCGATGCCAACATCGATGGCACCGATGTTTTGAAAATATCGGTGCTATCGATGTTTGGCCGTGCACAATCGATGTATTTCCATTTCTAACGGGTCTCTCCAGTTGTTCATGTGAACAATTTTACTCCAGTTCTTACGCACTCTGTTATTTTTCACTTCATTTCTTATGCGCTTTCAAAGATGAGGCAGCACTGAGTGCAAAATGAGTGGTGCCCGTAGGCACGACGTAGCTTTGTAGTGGCAGAGTGCCTACATGAGCGGGACTGTTAACTGGAGTGAAGGAAACAAACAATGCCATAGAGCCACTAACAGAAATGTTAAGTTAGCGCAAGAGAGCGGCCTGTTAATTTAGCAGACAATTATGTTTAATGCAAGACCGTTGCAGTTTGAATGCGGTTTTGGGTTTAAAATTATAAAGCAATTAAAACGGTTATACAGCTGGAACAGAAAACTAGCACAACATTTTTTGTTTAAACAAATGGTTTAAATAAATGCTTAAACGGCAAAATGGACAGGAAAACAAAACCAAAGAAGGCAAATTTCGAAGCTTTAACAAAAATATATTCTATTCATCAATTCTGTGTATATGCGAATTTTCAGATATCTTTTTCGATCTATTGAAATGAACATTTTCAAACGCTTTTTTTATACTCGTGCAGAAGGTATTATAATTTCAGTCAAAAGTGAAGGGCACATTTACGATATATATTCTTGATCAGCATTGCCAACATTACTGTCTAGCCAAGTCCTTCTGCCCGTCTATCCGTCCGTCGGTCTGTCCGATTCTACGACCCTAAAAAGAATATATATTCTTGATCAGCATTACCAGGTGAGGCGATATAGCCATGTCCGTCTGTCCGCTTTATACGCAAACTGGTCTCTCACTTTTAGAGCTATCTGGTTTGTTTCTACTCTTAACTTAAATTGTTTCAGAAAATGAATACAATGCAATTGCTTCGTTCTGTGGAAAATATACACCCCTCAACAACTTTTGTAGGCTTTCCCAGGGAGGCGGTGAAAAAGGTGGCTTTTCAACCCCACTTCACTTCCTCCCGGAGCAATTAACGGGATTCCGATGCGTCTGGCCGTCTGCAGAGTGCAGACTGTGACGGGAAATTTCAAAAATTTCAATTCACAAAAATTCATAGGAATGCGCTTGACTCTCACATGTGTGTGTTTGTGCCTTCTAGCCGAGTGTTTGTTGTCCAGTCGATTCAGTCCATCCGAAGTTTGCCATCCAACCTGTGTGCCTTCCCCACTTGTTTTTCTGTCTGCGTGTTCAACGGCAGCAGGTGCAAGTGCTGCTGCAATCAAAGAGTCGACCCCTTTAAGGATATCCACAAACGAATGTAGGCTCAGCTGGCCTTAAAGGAGGAAATCGAGAAGAACAGCCAAGTACCCCATACGATACTAAAAAAGTTAATTAATTGCAATTTGGTAACACTGATTAAGTATTTCAACCAACACTGTCGTTCTGAGAATTTAATCAAGGCATTTAGAAAAGACGGCAAAGATTTATTAATTGACGAAATATACCAAACTACTACTACTACTGAATGTGAATAATTTGAATAATACATTTACCAGGCCTATTTCTTTAGATTTAAAGAAAACAAGGCAAGCAGTTTCTCAACACTGTACGATTTCATAGATACAAAGAGGAAAGTATGTAATATGGAATAAGAATAGCAGAATAATAACAGATAGAAAGATATATAAATATAAGGCATATAGGCTATAAAAACCATATAATGTATATGAGCGTGGGATTTGGAAAATAATATTTTAATCTGCAGGTAAATGATGATGCCTAATCCTTTACAATCAGTTTAAAGTAGCATAAAAACCTTAAAAATATATATTGCAGGGTATGAGATGTAAGATGGAATGGCTAAGTAAAATAATTCGAGGGGTATTTAAAAACTACATTCGTTTTCCAAAGTTCCCCTGCCACTTCTGCCCATTAGGTTGACTCCTGGCTTCCTCGGGATAGTCATCTTTTCACCCTCTTTCCGGGGAGCTGGGGATGCTGAAAATGCAGTCGCAGTTGATGGCCATCAAGTGGACCATGGCCAAAGTGATTACACGTGCCCATAAACAACAAAGCAACCCCCTGGGTGGTTAAAGTCAGGCAAACAGGCAAACGGGAGACAAAGCATGGCATCAGGACATCACAGGACATCACAGGACGCCCGTTCTATAGAGATTGAGGTGGTGTCATGATCAGCTGTGATTGGGTGTGTGTGCCGCACGCTGTGGAATTTATGGCCCGGACTTCAGTTTTAATTTAGCCAGGTGCAAGATTACCCAGATAATCAAGCTGTCTTTGACCAGGTCCACGAGCTCCAGCCCTGCACTAAAATAAATAACGAAGATGTTTTTTCGTTAAAGTAGGACACATATTAAAAAAATTTTTTTTTCATTTGCTGTATTTTTTATAAAAAATAAGCATGCGACCCATACATATAATTTTATATATTATATTATATTAAAAATGGTTTTTAAAAATTAAATAATACTTAAATTTTTGTACATGTAACATATGTACATGTATTCATTTCAGTGTACTGCTTGAGATAGTCCTAAGTTCAACTTGTATAGTGGGGCGAAAAAGGAGGATAAAATGCTGAGGACACGACAGCGACAAAGTCAATAAATTCTGTAGCACTGGATTGGCCCCCAAAGGAGCTGAACGAGGGAACTGGGAACTGGGAACTGAACACTGGGAAAGTGGGATCCTGGCCAAAGCACTGAGAGCTGAGCTGCACTCACTTAGCCGGAATGCCAGGATGCCAGAATGCCAAGCTATCTGCAGCTGCACCTGGCAAACTCCTGTCCTCAGTCTTGTCCCAGGTGTCTATTTTAGCTGCTTTTAACTTGGTTATGGCCTTGGCAATGTCTTGGCAGCTTTTAGGGATAATAACAGCAGCGGCAGGGGCTAAAGTGGACAGAAGGACATGGGATAGGGTTGGTTATACACTGATTTCAGCAATTAGATCCTGGCATTTGCCGCTTCCTAGCTGCTCCCGGCCATTATGTACATGGGAGTTACGAGCTTGTGGCCAACATTACGAGCCAAGTCAGCTAAATCCGAGGACCAGGACTAAATGTGATCACGCAAAGCGTATAAACAGGAGCAGATGGGCCAGATGGGCATCGCCACCATAAAGCATGCGAGACGTGCAAAGTGATAATCATGCGAATTCCACGGGGGCCAAATAACAGGGCCCAAACCGAGCCGTTAATACTCTAGGTTACATAAAACAGTACTCAAAAGTATTCAATTTTGTTAGGTTTTCTAATTTATAATGGGTAAATGGGCTTTATTTTCATTGAGAAACATTCGCTTTAAAATTTGTAACTAGAAAACGAAAAATTATTGTTAAATAGGTTAACGAGGTTGGCCTAAACAGTTGGTGTTGGCAGTTTTTAACCAAGAATAATTTGGCCCTGTTTTTGAAAAGAAAATTAAAAGGCCAAAAGGTCCTGATTCGGTCGAAACAAAGTAAATGGTGCAGCAGGGCACCATTTTTACCAGCTTTTGAGTACATGCCCGCTGCGTTCACTCTAACCTGGCGTATGACAGATTGTCCCCAACACATGGGGGATGTCCCCAATCCACACAACCTCCAACCCCCCACACCAACCACCCATTCGCATCCGTTTCCGGATCCGAAACCGTGTCTCCTGCCGAGTAACCCATGCGCCGTACGTGTGCCCAGCACTCATTACGAATGAAAGCCGAAAGCGAATGTGCCCAGGTGTTGAAAACAGCATTTGGAGTAGGAGGAAGTGGAAGTGAAATCAATCAGAGTTTCAATCAAACATAATATAAACGCCGAGATTTGCCCCGAACTGCACAAAATTGTTGGACAGGTGAAAAGTTTTTTAAAACTAGGAATTCGAGAATGAGAATTTTAAATTAGTTTACAGGTGCAGTAGTTTACTGTTTGTAGTGCAGCTATTTGCCAGATTTAGTGATAAAAAGATTGCTTATAACCCACAAAATGTATAGTTTAAATATAATTCAAGTCTATATTTAAATTAAGCATCTATTTGGCATCCCTTGGTATCAATACACATATTTAAGTGCTCTCCATAAATAATTGTATGTGTTTTTAAGTCTTATTGATATTATCTTCTTGAAGTCTCCTCTAAAAATCATTGATAAGCCCTATTTTGATTAGTTTAAGTGCTTAGCCCGCCTTTTTGCCGAGGGTGAAAGTAACGCCACACACTTTTCCAGTACCTTTTTCCACCATCCGCCCTGGGAAAATGTGATTTAATGGCGGCGCGTGCGTGGGTGCGTGTCATGTAGACATGGTAATTTTTCAGACAATTAAACTCACACACACACACATGATGCATAACCCACCTGCAGGTGAAATATTATTCAAAAATCCGTAACGCCTCCGAAAATGGGCGACCCTGACTCCTTGACGTAGTGGAAATTTATTAGATTTTTCGCAGCACTTAAGAAAAGCGGAGAAAACCCTTTGCCCCTCATCCCCGGAATTTTCAGAATTTTCCTTTGAACTACATTAGGAAAATCACTCGAAACTGGGACTGAAATCAACTGCAGCTGCTGGGCGAAGTGAATTGAATTTATGAACCCCCGGCTTTTCCCGCTTTTCCCTCTTTTCACTCCTTCACATGTGAGTGGGCGGCTGGGAAATGGGAGATGGGAAGGGGGCGTGTCATTAGGTGGAAAACGGAAAATGTTTTATTGCCCGTGTTTCGGCCTGTGAGTTATGTGCAGGGCTCTAACACGAGATTTACATTATGCTCGTGAGGAAATGACTTACTTTTAGCGAGAGAAACCGAATCCACAACGCATCCACACCCAGAAACCTTCTAAAGCCAGCTGATGGATAAGATTTCGGTGAATATATGATTATAGTATATACCTTTAGCCACTAAGAGCCCTAAAATTCTATGGCCTTTGCTTTTTACTAGGGTAACTTTTTGTTAAATATATAAATATTATTTAATATATATTATGCCTTACGGCATGAGTTCATTGAATTAAATTAATTGGTATTTAACAAATGTTTAACCAAGTGAAAACTACTTTTACTTTTTTGGTAATTTTTTGTAAAGTAATGTATAATTATGCTTGTGAAGTTCACCAAATAAATAAATCCTATGACCTTCCATGGCATAATGTAATTTTTTTTAAACTCCATAACTCAATTTGATGGAAATAGGGCCAATCAAAGAAGTCCCTGTTCTAAGCATACTCCCAAAAAGCTCTGAATTTTC